ACTATTCTACTAGGGCTGGGAGACAATTATTAGTCTATTTTCCCATCCTGGGGGTGACAAAATTGAGAATCCATGACAATTACATCCAGCAATTCCACACTCCATGGCTGCCTTCTCCTCCAGTCCCCCCTTCCCAGCCACCCCCCACCTTCCACACATTTCAAATTAACGCAGCTTCACCATCACATTCAAATGTTCTGTGTTTGTGGGGAATGAGGGTCCTATTTAAATGATAATGAGGAACGATCCATTCAATTTAGTGACGGAGAAAATCCATTAAAAAATGCAGGCAGTTCTTAAGCTGATGGGTCAAGGAAAAGATAAACCCTTTTTTAAAAGCCATTATGTAAGGCTCTGTGTGGATTTTTTTACACTGTTCGGGACATCAGGAAAGATTAGGACAATTATGGAACAAGGAGTAGCAGGGAGGGAGGGAAAACAGAACACCCTCTTTCCCTCTTGGGACCACCCCAAACCTCCCCCTATTTAATTTCAATCAAAATAATCAAATGGGCACAGGAATGGGTTGTCTCTTAATTTCTCTTGTAATACCCTGTGCCTAGCTGTGAAGGAGAGCAGAGAAAAATCTGTCTTTAAGGACTAGCTGATTGTTCTGTAAAAAGCAAGATAGGAGAACATTTTTTCAGATATGTGTGATGGGGTAACAAGCATTTCAATGAACTAGAAATGGCTTTTTATTTAGATACTACAATTTACAGAAGAGCAGAAGGTCGGGAAAAACTGGCACTGTGTAGATGTACATATCTTGGCTTAATAAGCTATGCAAGAACTTTCTGTTTAGGTGTTTTGTCCTTGTTCTTTTCCTTCAGCGTGCCAGAATTCAACATTTTCTTTGCTAATTAACCATAGTTTTCCACTACACCTGAATGGTTAAACTATATTGGAATAAGCCAGGCTCTTAAACCACAGCCTGATGTTAGTTTAAGACCCTGGCTTGTTCTGATTCTTGTAACCTTAATTTCCTGGTTCACATGTAACAGGAAATTATAGTTAATTAACCAAGGAAGAGTTGAATTGAAGTGTGTGGAAAAGGGAGGAGAGAAGGTGCAAAACGGGGGCAGACTGTATATGAAAGGTAGGCACAGCCAATGGTGAGAGATGCTGCAAGTTGCAGGCCAAGATTCCTGGAGGGCCACAAATTGTACACAAGCTGAGATAAAAACATCTGTTTGGGGCTACTGTTTGTGCCTTATTTTAAAAATGTCCAATTTTCAGTCCCATTAATGGAGCTTTGGCAGATTTCCTTTCTTGACTGAGCCAAAGAAGTGGTTACTTATTTTATTATTTGACCTCCTCCATCTCCAGTCAGTGCTTAAGGATGCCGGAAGAATTTTAAAGACAAAACAGTAAAAATAGCTCATAACAAATTCACGGTACTTTGACTACATTCTTGAAATTTGGAGACAGTTCACGCTGCATGTTATTTTTTCCATTCCAGCATAGAAAAAAGGAATGTGCCACATAATGTCAACAAACTGATCCAAGTAAACACACCATGGAAAATAGCTATGTAGAACCATTTCTCAGTGTCTCTACTTGGGGGAATGGGAAGAAGGGAAAGGTAGGTGTAAGTCATGTTGACTTGTTGTTCAATGCGATTAATCTCTGTGTTAGAAAACAATAAAAATATGTATCGATTGTCTCAAAACACAAGTACATCTGAACCTATAACATGGTTATACTGGGTCAGACCCACAGGCCATCTTGCCTCTGACTCTCCAGTCCAACCAGCACTGACTCTCCAAGATCTTAGAGAAGCTAGTTCGGTACCTGGGATCCTTTTAACTGGAGATGTGCGAGACAAACCTGGAAACCACTAAACAATGGACACTCCCTGCTTTCTGTAGCAAAAGGCAGCGGATGTTGACACCCTTTGGTCATGTAAACCTCAAATAACCCATGGCTTGTCTAGTCTGCAGTGAACATGTGTATCAAGCTGGAAAGTTAGGATGTCAATTGAATGCCACTCTTCTCCACAAAAACACAGCAAGTAGGATGAGGGACCTTGACCATATATAGTGAATCTTCTAGAGGCAGAACACATGGCCTGAACTAACAAATACCCCTTCTCTATACTATAGAAACAAATTCAGAACTGCATTCCACTTGGTTGTTACAGAGCTATAAAATGCTTTGGGTTGGCAGGCCTTTCCCATTATACTACACAGCAGGGGAAACCCTCAAGGGTGGCCATGGCATTCTTTATTCCCTCCCACTTCCTGAAAGTTCACCCCACCTTGCTAAAGAAACTTGAACCGGACCACAAAGTTCCCGTTCCAGAATTGCTGAAGACCCCCTTCTTTACAAGGTATGGATCAATGGTGAAATTGTGTTCCAGCACTCATTTCTGGGATTTAATTCTGGATTTATGAAACAGAGCACCAGGCTGCTCCTTACAGTGTTCCATTTTCAATCCCAGGGTAGTAAAATGGTCCGTATCTCTGGGAGGGAGGAAATACAGCATTTGCCACCCATGGAGGCTGCCATTCCTGCAACTACTTCTCTATCCGATGACCAACTTTCACTTGCACCAGAAAGCCCCTGGCCAACTGGGATGATAAAAAAGCACTGCAGCCCGGAGGAAACACTGCTGGATGGCTACCGCAAGAAAATACCTGCAAAGGTTAATTCTTTATGGGAAATGCAACTGTGTCTAAGAACAAAACTTTGGAGTTCAGGAAATATGTGCAATTTCGGCAATAAGATGCTGGAGAGGGTGATGGATTACAGGAGAACCATGGACTTGAAGGCCAAGGTGTTGGGAAGTGAAGTGGTGATGCTGGGACTCGGTCCCACGCTAGGAAAAAAGATGATCTGGGGCACACGCCCACAGGACAAGCCTGTGTGTGTCTTTAAAGCCCTCCGTGTCCTATGGCCACCCGATCCGCAGTAATGGACGTAAGGGGGGCCCCAGGACCTTCAGTTCAGCAAGTGCCCCTGCATAACAGGCCAATGGGGCAAAGGGCCTCCCAGAGATTTGGGGTCCGGATAAAAGACTCTGGGTTCTAGCCCTGGTGGGCTCCTCCCTCAACCTCGCTGACCCAGTTTCTTCTGGCCATGTGGGGATCTAAGGAACTCAAGCGATACATCCGAGTTGTGGAGCACAGACGTGGGTTCAGATACCTAACCTGGACCACTCCAGGTTCAGCGTGGGTCAGATGGTCTGCATCAACTGTGCAAGACGGTCCAAAGACGCCACAAGCCAACAAGCCCGCCCCCACCGAGGCTAGCCAGTTGCCTTCACGTCCTTCTTGCAGCTTTCCAGAGGCATTTCTTAGGCCCCCAGGAGAAAAGGGAGCTGCATCGGCCCTTGCTATGACTCTGTACTCTTATGCATGGGAGGACCGAGAGAGCATAAGAGGATAAGACGTCCTTGGTGTGCCTGTCATATACCTGGGGAGGACACCACCCAGGCTTTGAGGAAAGCCTCCCTCCCACCCCCTCCCAGCAGGCAAGCCAGCCCACGAGCCCTGTGCCTCCCCAGCCCGCCACGCCTGGCCTGCTTTCCGTCCCAGTTCACATGTGTCTCTCCCTCCCGGAATCGGACCGCAGGCAAGTGGCCGGGATCTCGCCTTTCCCCTGGGACTCTCTCCAAGCGCTCTGATTTCTTCCCACCACACAGCCTGCTTACAGCACTCCATTCACACTCAAAACATGTAGAGTGAATTCGAGGCCCCTCCACCAACATCACCACCGTCACATTTCGCTGTCAGAGCTGTCAAGCCGAATCCCGCTTTAATCTGCCAGAAGCACTTTTCTGCTGACATTTTTAATAAATACTTTCAGCTTTTAAACACATTTGTGGGGGCCTTTTACCCCTCCTCCCTTCCTTTCCCTCTTCTCCTTCTCCTTCTTCTTCAGGAGAATAAGGTTTGAAAGGCTTAATAGCAAATACATTACACTTATCAAAGGCTTCCCCCCCTTCCCTTTTTTGGGGGGTTTTTTGCATCCTGAAACAGAGGTAGTGTTTTCAATTTTAAAGCTAAATTAACTGTCCAATTGAATTTGGCTGGTGTGAGCTGTTTTTCCTGTGACAGGTTTTAGTTATGAAGCATATTTCACATTAATAGAACTCAACATGAAAACCCTCTCTCTCTGGGACGTAACCGTGGCTCGCCATTGAAATGTTAAATTTAATATTTCAGACATGCCTTGTGCCAGCGTTTGATTATTGTTCGTCATTTAAATCTCTCCTAACGGGGAAGGTCCTAATTAGCAAAAAATCATGTTTTAATGAAGGCAAAATGCTAATTGCTAACACAAAAAAGCCTTCACATAAAATTATCCCAGCACTTCCACTGATTTCTTGGCGATTGAAAGGAGAGAGAACGAGAGCGCGCGAGAGAAGCGGCAGCCCATTTGCGTGTTTACATATTAAGCCACCGTTTGCTTTTGTTTTATCATAACATTTCACTCAAAAGCTGCACTTGGGTTCTTCACAGAAAGGGATTCGGTACCCACCCTGCCTCGTCCCACCAACTGGGTGTTCCCCACTCCTGACTCAGAGCAGGAGGTATAGACAAGGGCGACGTCATCCCTACCAACCAGAATAATTAGACAATGGAGATGTTGTTTTTTTAAGCTACATGAAAAGAAACCTCTTTTCTCTCATATGTAAACACCAGAACTTTTCTTCTCCGGGAAATACTCCCGTGCCATCTTTCCAAAGAGATCTCTCTTTTCTTTCATATATAAACACCGGAACATCTCTTCTCCAGGAAATACTCACACACCATCTTTCCTCCCAGGAATAACAATTCCATTTTGTTTTTCCCATCTCTGATCTTTCACTTATCATATTATTTGCGCAATGATTATTATAGTGTTTGCGAGAGAGCTCAGCCACTTATGCCGTAACACTCAATCATGACATGGGGGGGAAAAGTTATTACACAGTGACCTCTGGGTGCCAACGTTTGTTCAGCGAGATTTATGAAACGGCCGCAGCGCAGCGCCACCGCATTCTTGAAGGTACTCACGTCACTGAGGCAATCCCTGGAGCTGCTGAGCTGGGAGCTTGTGGCCTCTTGGATGCTGTCGTCCTCACTGTTCCTGCCGCTTCGTTTTGCTGGGACCTTCATCTGCAGAGAGCAAGAGACAGCGCCGTGTTAAAATGGACCTTCAGGAAATTGCTCTTAGTCCTTGCCTCCTCTGTCAAAAAGCACCAGCATTTGCGGAGTGCAGGCATAAGGGCCCCATCTTCTAGGCTTGTGGACCATCTTAGACGAGCCTGTGGACAGCAGAAAGGACCCAACAGGCAGATTTCCTAGAACCAAGATGGCTTCCAAACACATGAGCGTTCCAATGATATGTCTCAGAACTACACAGCATGGTCGGCTTGAAGGAAGAACACCCACAATTGTATAAACTCTGTTTATCTCACAGAAAGTTGCCATACACCTGGACAGAATTTTTGTCCATGGTTTACTGGAACTGGGATGGCTCTTCCGGGGCTCAGCAGGAGTAGCTTTTTCCTACCATCGCTACTTCAGCTCCTTTCTACTGGAGATGCCAGGGCTGGTTGCATATGATGTGTCCTCTGTCCCACACCTCGTTCCAGTCCCTGTGTCCGATCAATCACAGCCTTAATTGTTCTGGAATCTGCCTTTAGGGAATGCCTCCTTGAGTCTTGTGAGTTGCTAGAGTGAGGAGCCCACACTCAAAAACACCCCATAACATGTGGCTCTGAATGCAGCCTACTGAAAGACACACGTGACAGAAGTCATAGGATTCACTAACAAGTTGGTCTTAATTATTGCATGTACCCACATACGGGGAAGGAAGCCTTTATTAGTCATCCCAGTTCAATACTGAGTCAGTGTTTAGAGGGTCACACTATACCTCCTGTTATGTTTAACGACAGAGATTTTTTTCAAAATGTCTTTAAGTTTTCACTTTCGCCTTCTTGGAAGAAGTTTCCCTAGCTAAGAAAACAGCACACATACTAAAAAAGGCTCCGCAAATACGGTCAAGCAGGTCACCATTGGCAATCAGAACTGCAGTTATTCTGACCCTCAAGGAAATCCTTCACTGTACTCTGCCATGCACATATTTGAAAAACAGACACACAACAAACAAAAATATTTTTAAAAAGCTTTTCTTCAAGCCAGTCCAGGAATGTTGATATCACACATGGAGAGAAATACAAAATAATAAATACAGCTCCAACTCCAACAAAGTACATGCCTTTTCTCCATTAAAACTATGGAAGATGTAACATTCTATGATCTAAGAAAAAATAAAGGCATCGATACTTGTTTATGAAGCCTTACGCTACTGATTGATTGATTGATATCCTGCCTTTTTCCTACAAAGGGCTCAAAGCAGCTTACATCATTCTCCTCCGCCATCTTATCCTCACAACAACCCTGTGAGGGAGGTTGGGCTGAGAGTCTGTGACTGGCCCAAAATCACCCAGTTGGCTCCATGGCTGAGCGGGGACTAGAACCCAGGTTGTCTGAGTCCCAGTCCCATGCTCTTAACCACTACCCCACACTGGCTATTTAGGGCCAGGATTCTTAAAAGGTTGCCTGACCTTCCACCTGCCTGTTCTATTGATGCATTCCTGACAGCATCTAACATTTTGGAAATTAATGATTGCTTGGACTAAAGGCTTTAGGATCTTAATGTCTGCTCCTTGGAACTCCCTGTGAGTCGATATTCAACAGGCACTGACCTGTCCACGTTTCCAGTAAGCTTCCGCATAACAGGAATATACAGCATTGTTTTGCACATGACTTTGAAATATAAGCAACTCATAAATATTGGCAAATAACTGATCAATAAATAAGGGTGAAAGAAAAAAAAACACGTTGCCTTATTGCCTTTTAAAGATATTTTAAATAACTAACCAATTACTATGTTATTTTATACCTAACATATTAGAAATTCTAGTATCTAATAGTTTCACCTGATACTTTGGTATTACTAATGCAATAGGCTGTATCTAGGTGTAGCTGTTACTTAGAGTAGGCTCATTAAATAAATAGGATTAGCTTAATTCCCATTGATCTGAATGAGGCTGCTCTAAGTATGACCAAGTCTGTAAACAAACCATACAGTGATTTGGCTTATTTGCAATTTGTGGTTTAATTTTTGCCAAGTTTGAAAAGGGTGTTCCAAATTAATGCACCAATACCTTATTTCCTCTCTGTCTATTACTTTCACCTGGTAATGTAATATTTGCATTGTCATAAAAATCCAAAGGAATGCAAGAAGAGCTATGCTGGATCAGAGCAATCTAATCCAACATTGTGTTCTGAACTGCCAACCAATCTACTTCATGAAATGACCCTGGGCTCCAGCAATCCGGAAGAAGAAAAAAATCTCTCTATCCAACTTCACACAGTACCTAATTTTTCACAGCCCTGTCCCTTCACTTGCCTTTTCTCTAAACAGTCTCAAATGTGGTGACCCTTCCTCATACGGGGAGCTGCTCCAGATGGGAGCTCCAAATGAAGCAACTCCAAACCTTGCCTCCTTGTTTTGCAGGTTTTCCAACTCTACAATATCTTTGTGGGTATCTTTTGAGGTGCTGTATACCTAGTATTCATAGCGTTATGCCTAACATGGAATTCACCTTTTTCACAGCAGCTGTACAATGTCTTATTTGCCTATGGTCTGATATTTATCTGACCTCGAATTCTAGAGCTGGGTGTGTCCTGTGGCACTCACTTCCCAGAAACAGAGGGTGTGTTACCTCCTGCCACTTTATAAATATATATATTTTTTATCGCAGTCAAGTTACTTGAATAGGTTTTAGGGCAGTGCAGTCATTCCTCCACTACCTTTGCTTTCTTTTTCTCCCAAGTTCCTGTAGGGAAAAAGGCATACTTCCAGTTCACTCAAAGAAGCAAATTGAGAGAATTTGACCTAACAAGGGTCTTGCGTGGGCAAGCAAATTAGAAGCATCACTGCTGCCATTAACCTTTTGGAGTAAATATCAATTATTAAACTTGCTCCAGTACCTCTGTCCCCGGTTTGCTGCTGTGAATTAAGAGGGTCATCAGCCTTTTCGACAGATCTTGTTCATTTACACCTGCTGCCTGCCAACAGGGGGGCCCACCCCACCCCGCTGCCAGAGCACCAAGCCAACCTGCTTTAATTCATTGGTAATTACCTTAATGAGACACACACAGGACTGAACTAGAAGCACAAGTTGTTTAGCTAAATGCAATGTACAGCTTTCCGGGGCACCCTTTGGCATATCTGGCTATAAATGTACTTTCTGGGCCACTTGTCTCTTGAAGTTGCTGGCTGCATGGTGGGTTGTATTTGCCTGTTCTTGCTGATTCGTGGAGAGAGGTGCAACCCACCACTTTGTTTTCCAAACTGACACAGAGAGAGACACACGCAGAGAGAGGAAGAATGCAGTCCACAGATGTTGTTGGTCTACAGTTTCCATAATTCTTGCCTATTGACCACACTGGAGAAAGCTGAAAAGAAGCGAAGTCCAACAATCTCAGCACTGACTGATGGACAGCATTCCTCCAGGGTTTCAGACAGCCCTGGCTGGTGATGGGGGTACTGAACCCAGAAATGGCTGCCTGTAGACTATAACCATTAGCAACAGTCCTTCATCAAAAAAGAACATGTAGCATCTCATTTGCTCCTGATGTGCTTGAACCCACAGCCCTGGCATTACTAGCACTCCGTTCTGCCCGAAGGAGAAGCCGTGGCATAGTGGTTCGGGTGTTGGGCTGCTTCCCACTCAGCTCAATAGCACACTGGGTGATTTGTGTGAGTCACAACCTCTCAGTCTAGTCTACCTCCCAAGTTTATCCTGAGCTTGAAATGGAGAAGAGGAGTCGTGTGAGCTGCCTGGAGGAAAGGCAGGATATAAACAGAATAAATGAAAATAAATAAACAAAGCTAGCTCTCCAACTCCATGTTTGGCAACGAAGAGAAGGCGTTCTCAGTTGGTTGGGTTTTGCTTCTCCGGCATGTTGGAAGCACTCTCTCAAAATCCATCTGAGTCATGAGCTAGGTCACCCCAGGATGCAATCCAGCCTGGAGGCCAGTCAAGCAGGGGACAATTATGGACATCCCACACAGGGCAGGAGTGGTGGGGAAGTGAAGGGTGCCTCTGCATTCCTCCCACCCTGGAAGGGCATCAGTAGGAAAGAAGGGGGTCAAAGCCCTACCAGGACACATCATCTCACAGCACTACTCATCTCTGCCCTGTCCCCCTGGAATGCACACCCAGCTCCTGCTCTGTGGTTCCATTCGGATTTGTGTCTTCAGGGACACAGCTGCTGCAGTGTCTTCTCTCGCAGCCCCAAGTGGGGAGGGCACTTCAAGCTTGCAGTCCCAGCTCCAACATCAGCGTGAGCTCCTGAGGGTAAAGCTGGGACGCTGAATCATGCTTTGGCCATCGAGCACGAGAACACATTGAATGCATTCGGTATTTCTTGAGTTTGTCACCATGGACGTTTCCATACTTGTCTTTGTCCCTACCCAGCTTGGCAGCATAATTAAGAAGAAACTCTACAGCTAACTCAAATTTTGGTGGGCTTCTAGGTTATGGGAATCCCAGTCACCAACACCACCCCCTCACTGCCCTGAGTCAATCTGTTCCTGAGATTGTTCCTGAGTGTCCAAATAAATATGCAAAGTAGCAGCTTGGAAAACGGACCGAACACTCCTTCCAAAACAGACCTCTTACTCAGCTGAGCCTACTCACCGTCCTTGTTCTAGACTGTGAAAATTGGCAGCCTCTTTCCCTTGCTAAAACCATCACTGGACCTCTTACCATTCAGACAAAGTGACTGCCCTTCACAAGCTCCCACACGATCTTCGCACCCACTCGCTCACATCTAGGGCCCATAAAGCTCTTCGTGCACTTGTCTTCCAGAACTCTCTGCCTTGATATCCCAATGTAGGCCTGACCCACAACCTTTGCTCCACTGTCACCACCATATGTCTCCCTTGTCCTTTTTCCCCAAACAGGAAGGAAACCCGGGTGAAGACAAACTATCATGGTTCCTTCTGCACCATTCCATTCCAAAAGAGTAAATACTGTGTATCAACAAGAAGAGGGCATAAGATAGACTTGCATAAAAGTTGCACATCTGAATTTATA